ATTTCTTTTTTATTTGTTTTTTGATTTTATAAACGCATAATTGTAACACGCTAAGGCGCACAGTGTCAGAGCAGCAGAAACTTCAACGTCCATTTCAGTCAAATGCACGAACGTAAATGCGAAAGGTTGCATGTGTAGAGAGCTATGTTTTTCACATCGTGTTCATGCGCGGTTCGCGGGCGAATGTAGAGCCCGTATTAGACCTTAGATTTTATACCCCAAGGTGGGTGGCGCATTTATGTTGTAGATGTCTATGGGCTCCAGTAACCACTTAACACCAGGTTGTCTGTGAGCTCGTCCACCCATCTAAGCAATAAAAAATAAAAATAGAGAAAAATAACACAGGAAAGCAATCACAACTGATGCCTTGTGACGCGACGCGAGAAGATCAAATCCCGTAATCGATATGCCAACCCGGTTCTTGCCTAGTTCCCCCGAACAGACCCAAAAATGCACTTTTGCACATGTCAAGGTCAGAGCTCACGACTCGTGCCGATTACGTGCCGTGCTATATCTGTATTTAAAAAATCACTTGTTTAAAACATAACTTAAGTAACAGCTCGTCTGCCGAATAACAGTAAAAACCCAAGAGATAGTCATTTATGAACAATTAAGAGATTTCTGAAATAAATCACGCGATATTTTGCTCATTTAAGTTATCTGATATCACCGGACCACGAAATACACTTTTAAGAAACCAATCACCATCACAAAGTTGAACTAGATTGAAATGAAAATTGCTTCGAATATTTTACAATTTTCGTAGTCGCTGCGTCACGCTTTATAGGACAGTTGTTTTAGAAATAGTCAATGCGTATCTATTATTCGGGTTAATCGATTGCGAAAACAACTAGTAATTTGTAACCACAGTGTAGCACAAGAGGATAGCACCCAAAAAAATTGTACGTGTTTCAGTCTTCTTCAATCAGGATGTGAGCGATGAAAGTGAGTGAAACCGCAGAAGATGTTAAATAATATATTACAATTTTCAACTTAAAATCCTCTGATCACTCGCTGAATGAAAGACAAGCTTTTAAAATGAAAACCGACAAAGGAAAATTATTATTTATAAAAGCTTCAGCTACTTAAAAAACTGGAGGTACGAAACGGTTTCTCTTCAAATAGCTACAGAACATTTCAGCAGAATCAACAAATCTTTCGCGTTTGTTGGAACGCTGAGGTGAATAAAAAAGATACTTTTCTATGTTAATGTCTGTGGTATTCTGTTAAAAAATTAAAACAAGTTCAATGCTGTATACTGATTGACCCGTGCATAACTTACGTACGTTCCTTTGAAAATAGTACTCTTAGAATTCGGTAAGTTCAAATTGATTTTTCTATTATTTGCAAACGAAACATCAATTTTAATTAACAGCCATTTCTAAATACTGGTAGTCCCCCAGTAGTCGAAATTTGACTATAATTAATTGAAATTATAAGTTTGTACACTATTATGATTCTATTGTCAAAGACTATTATACTTCTATGATCAGATTTCGCTAAGACTATGTACACTTTAGATAAATATTAATAAAGACATACAATATTTAATCTATTCTTAATTTGAACACAAATTATAAGCAATAAGAAAAGTTAGACAATAAGCAAATAGTAGGTATGCATACATGTGTGTCAAATTCATGGTAGTGTGTGTAATGTTTTTTTTAATTGATTTAATGAATTTTTTATGCATAAATTAAAAAAATATTAACATTCTGCACTCCTACTCTATATCCTCTATAAGTCTGGGAAATTTCATACTCCTCCGTCCGCGCAATTTTCGTAAAAAGGGATACAAAGTTTTTGCTTCACGTATTAATATCTACATACTTGAAATATTTAAAACAGCTAATTGCTAATTGATTGTGCTAAAAACTGATTGTGTTATCAAAAAAGTGATATTTGAATTTCTTTTTTCCTCTAAATGAGTGGTTCCTGGTTCTTCAGGCTGTAGGTCGTTCATGAACATGTGTACATAAGTACACAGTACATGTTTACTTAAGAATATTGTTACCTTCAGAAAGATAATACAATATAGTAAAGAAAGAACATGAGTATTGCGACGAAGGCGAATTGGCTACCACGTGAATTTAGCACGGTATTCAGTGACATGATCACAATTAAGTAAATCAAATATGAATCTTATAGATACTAAATTAAAATAATAATTACATAAGTATTGCGACAAAGGCGAATTGCCTACCACGTGAATTTAGCACGGTATTCAGTGACATGATCACAATTAAGTAAATCAAATATGAATCTTATAGATACTAAATTAAAATAATAATTACATAAGTATTGCGACAAAGGCGAATTGCCTACCACGTGAATTTAGCACGGTATTCAGTGACATGATCACAATTAAGTAAATCAAATATGAATCTTATAGATACTAAATTAAAATAATAATTACATAAGTATTGCGACAAAGGCGAATTGCCTACCACGTGAATTTAGCACGGTATTCAGTGACATGATCACAATTAAGTAAATCAAATATGAATCTTATAGATTACTAAATTAAAATAATCTTGTCTAAAAAATAATCTAAAAAGAAAATTCTTAGTAATTTTTATTCAACTAACAGCATCTATGCTAACAGCATGTGGAAATACCCGTACGATAGAATACCACCATCCAGCAATTTTTTTTTTCCAAGGTAGGCAGCAGATTTCAGACTGCAGTTTCTATAAACATTAGGCCGGATTTAAACTCATAAAATATCCACATAATATATTTACAATAAAAAACCATGTGATAAGTTATAAAGAAACTTTGACTTTCGTTAGCCTCTAAGAAAAGAATAGTTCGTCCGAATGACCGCAAATTACTTGTACGAACACTACGAAGTTTGATTTGAACAAAGAAAAGGCCGGTTGTAGCAACGAAGTGCCTACGTAAACAAGGGGTCCATTGGTTTTATTTGAAAAGTTTAGACAATCGCGGTTTACTATCCTACTTCCAGGAATAAGGTCTTCGTTAGATTAAATCAAAGTTCAAACTTTGCAGGAGCTCTAGCGTGAGCTCGGATTACTTTGTTTTGTAGATCGTGCCCGAATATTTCACAAACCGAGTATTAAACAACGAAATACAATTTTGCAGGCAAAGATTAATTCAGTAGCCTTCGTATTCCGATGACAGCGCGATGAGAACAAACGTCTCTCATAATCTATTCTATCAATAGCGTCAGATAAGATTGTTCTGTCATTATTGGGCCATAATTAATCTTTGTCATTACTTCCCCGGCTTGCAGATCTGTTCCAGAGCGATACAACCGGCTCTTTGTGAATACCCATTATCCAGCTTTATGACCATCGCATAGAAAACACGAAAGATCTTCATTGAATTTCTAAAACGCAATCTGTTTAAAATTACGAGACGCTATTCCGCTGAACCCTTGCGATACGATCAGTAACAAAATTAAACGACAATGTTTCTCGACGTAAAAGTCTCTGTGGATTACGCGATTGATGGAATTCAACGCGTGATAGTTAATATAGAGTACGTATCGTCGTATATCTCTCTTGTAGACGAGATTAAAGAGGCAATGTCGGTAGCTGGTGCCATCCATCTCTGTTAGTGGCGTTTCGACGCTAGTGTCGTTCCATGCAGTACGTTTAGCAATTTTTAATTTTATCCAGTTAATATTCCTCTTTATTTATTGTTCTAACGTAAAATTCGTCTATATTATTTTCTTTCTATACTTTCTAAGATATCGAAACTCACTACATCACATATAGTTGACGTCACGGACAACTGTCATCTTATACCGTACAAGTGTTTCTCCTGTGACTAGTGGTCCCGCAGTAGTCGAAATTCGACTATATTTAATTGAAATTATAAATTTGAACATTATTATGATTCTATTGTCAAAGACTATTACTATAGACTACACTATAGACAAATAATAATAAAGACAAAAAATATTAAACTATTCTCAATTTGACCACAGACTTTATGCAATTACAAAAGTTTGACAATAAACAAAGAGCATGTATATATTTAAGTGTGTGTGTCAAATACATGGTAGTGTATGTAATGTTTTTTTTTATTGATTTAATGTATTTTAATGCATAATTTAAAAAAAATTAACATTCTGCACTCCTTCTCTATAGTCTCTATAAGTGTGGGAAATTTCACAATTTTCCGTCCGCGCAATTTTCCTAAAAAGGGGTACAAAGTTTTTGCTTCACGTATTATTACATAGATAATATAAAGGTACAAAAACTATATTTAAGTGTACCCAGCAGCAAATAATAATTTCCATTTGTTCTTTTACTTTACAATAACAGAATAGCGTATGCTTCAACGCGATATTTAATAAACCACAAGAACCATACACAATAACGCAAATTTCGCCGCATAACTTGACGTGAAAGTTAAAGTTCTAATAAAAATTTTTTGTTGCCCTTGTCGGCAGATGAGCATATGGCCCACCTGATGGTGAGTGGTTATGGAATGGGATTATCGACAATCCGAACGGCTCTCTTCTGTATGGAGTCAAATGGAAGAAGCTGGTATTTGGGAGCCCCGGCCCACAGATGGGAGCAGTACTCCACGCGAAACCGGACTTGTGCTTGTGCTAATTCAATAAAATTATTGTAATACAATAAAATTATTGTATTAGACCTGCCGCTGCCTGCTTAGCGGTGGGCAGCGGCTTGGCTCTGCCCTTAGCATTGCTGAAGTCCATGGGCGACGGTAACCACTCACCATCAGGTGGGCCGTATGCTCGTCTGCCGACAAAGGCAATAAAAAAAAAATAAAAAAAAAAATTAGAACTGGTTCATTGTTGAAATGGAACCCTACCTTGCGGCAGAAATAGGATGGATAGGACTTAACGTCAATAAGCAGTGGCCATGAAATTATAAACAAATGAATGTTTGATGTTTTATTTCTCCTAGCTATCAGGTCTCAACAAAAGAATTTTCAACGGGCAACTGAATACTTAAAATAATTCGTTCTAAAAGAGTCGCGGTCATTGTTTTTGATTCAATTCACCACCATGAGTTGTAGTAGGATCCCGGATAGTACTCGGAACTGGAACAAACAAAAACACATTAAGCTGCAAAGTTAAAAAAATAGAGCTCCTACTTTTGTCAGCATTTACAAATTCTCGTCGCAAAAGTTTTAGATACACGCATTCAAGGTCAATCAAATTAAATCTTATAAAAATGAAAACAAGTGGTGTTCCACTTATCCGGAAAAAAAAGTTACGAAACATCTCAGATAACAATACAATTAATTAAATTAAAGCAAATGTTACCCGTGGTAAGAGCCATAGCTGCTGTAACCACCGTAGTGCCGGGGATAGTAGCTGCCGTGTCCTCCATATCCACCATATCCGCCGTATCCACCATATCCACCATATCCGCCATATCCACCATATCCGCCGTATCCTCCGTATCCACGGTATCCTCCATAGCCGCCATATCCATGACCACCCCAGCCGCCGTAGCTTCTGCCGTGGAACGCTTTTCCGGCGAGAGCACCACCAATAAAACCAGCCTTAGCACCAATGACTCCAGCGCCTAGAACGCCAGCTCCGAGCACACCAACACCAAGAGCTCCCGCACCAAGAGCACCAGCACCTGATATTGCATAAAGATGTATTTTCCATAATAAATCTAATTCAATAAGCAAAATAAATTTAAATCAATCACCACGCTATTGTACCGAATTTCTCAACCACATACAATAATTTATAGGCGAATTTGTTAAACTGAACTCACAGCTGATCCTCAAATAACATGGTTATTTTGTGCGCATTAGGCTGTATAAAGATTTATATCCAGAATAAACAAGGTAATTTTTCATAAAAATAAATTGCCTAACAGATTTGCATTTACGAGTACAGCGCCTCAACGCGCGCCGGTCTTCCGTACAGATTTTTATGGCTAGCTTAAATTTTTTTACTTACTCCGTTTTTCTTATTTATCGCTTTTAGAAATTTAACGATTTTTCATCTTTCCAATTATATTTTCTGCAGTTACGTCTTAATAAAACTAATAAAATCGTTTTCTGTTTCAGTTTATGACTAAAAATCTAATTAACAGTTTAAGGAATCGATTTTATCGATGCACGGACTAACTTTAATAAACGTCGGCTTATAAAAACGAGTTAGTCACACGTGACTTATATAATTCCAGATCATTAACGCAATGGATTTTTTTTATTGTTTAGATGGGTGCACGAGCTCACAGCCCACCTGGTGTTAATTGGTTACTGGAGCCCATAGACATCTACAACGTAAATGCGCCACCCACCTTGAAACATAAGTTCTAAGGTCTCAGGTATACTTTCAACGGCTGCCCCACCCTTCAAACGCATTACTGCTTCACGGCAGAAATAAGCAGGGTGGTGGTACATACCCGTACGGACTTGAAAGACGCCTTACCACCATGTCCTAAAAGAATCTCATTATCAAAACGTTTATATCTCTCGTACACATTACTTGCAAACCAACGGAAGTCTTACGATTTTCATTTTACTTGCTTGAGTATACAGTAAGTACGTCAGTAATTAGCACTTGGAACATTCCAGAGCGTCTTCAATACTAATCAAGTACCTCAAATACCTTTGGTTTGTACTAATCCAACTCGATAGAGAATATTTGGCGGATGATAATTAATTACGTAAGATTAAACCTACCTATTCGTCTATTATAGCGATATGTACCTAAAGCTAAAACGATATGCTACTAATACATACTGCTATTACTACTAATACTACGCGAAAGTTTATATGAATGTATGGATGTAGGTTTGTTACTCTTTCACGCAAAAACTACCGAATGAATTTTGATGAAACTTTATATTATTAATAATATAGTTTATACATCAAAATAACACATAGGCTATAATTTATAAAGGTATAATGTGAATTACCCAAAATATAATGATAAGTAATAATAATCTAAATAGTAATCTAATAATAAAAATCTGCCATCTGCGAGCCATTCTGGCGTGCGCCGCAAAAACCATTGGAGTTAAACGTATGTATAAAATATATGATGAAAATGTCTATCATAAATAGTCCTCCTACAAAAAAACCCGCGGCAGCATATATCTATATTTTATGTGTAAGGCATTATCGCCAAAATAGTGAACCATAAATGCAATAAAATTTGATAATTTATTTCTAACGCTCATTTGGTAGTAACAAATTGATCCTTATATCAAAATAAATATGTACTTTTATCGCATCTGGTATTTAAAGTAGATAAACTATTTCTTTTAAATTACATCATTTGGATAAATATTTCAACAGTTATGTCTATAAGCAACCCTAAAACATATAGTGCGCGATATTATGGTGCGGTCCGGCGCCGGCGGGCGAATGGGAAAAGTGCGCGGGCGATTACGTTGACGGTTATATCCTTAATACGAATTTTCAAGGCACTAGCTCAGGATCAGATTTATATAAAAGAAAATTCAATAAACGAGGGGGATCGCTATTTAAAATAAAAATAAAATACGTTACTGAACATTCTCAAACATTTGGGTTCAGTAGAGAAATTACATAATACAGAAATATTTAATAATTGACGCAAATCGTAACCGGGCGTGAATTGCTCACAACTAAAATAGTCAAGTGGATATACGAGTCATTTCATCCTCTTAAGTACGTACTTCATTTTTTTCTTGGACTTCTGGTCTGTTGCACAGTTCAAGGTTAATTCAAACTAGAAAGGATTGAGAAATTGTTACTTGTAGATTTGAACATATTCGCTCAGTATTGTGGGACTCCACGATACGATGAGGACAAGGGCATCAAATCTTACAAATCTCTAAAGGCCAAACTGAATTAATTTTTTTCTTTAGTTATTTAATCTGAGTTCTCGGAAAATAGTTTATAGATATTGGACATTGGTTCTATTGCATCGATGCAGTTGCGCAGTTGTATTTAAATGGTGATCAAGCAATTTTAAAGATTAGAAAAAAAATATAAAATGATTGGTTAACGGTTATTGGGGTTGTAAAACAAAAACATTTGCAATCGTTGCTTTTTGGCGTAGCTACGTACGTAAATGAGCTTATGGTCCACTCGCACTTCGGGTCGTGTCGAAATCTCAATTATACTGGAAGAGTGACGATGACTCATTTGCCAAAGGAACAGGTAAGATAATCCGATCTCTACGGGTTCACAACTTACCGTTGGCAATTAATCTAACAAAAATTTTGACTGGTTAGCTTTTATTACGGTAGGCTATTCCTGCATCGTAGAAAACGTTCGAGAACATTGCTGACGTATGGAGGTGCTTAGATAAAATAATAACAATTACGATAAATGTTATAAGTTTACTGGTGGTAGGACGTCTTGTGAATCCGCACGGGTAGGTACCACCACCCTGACTATTTCTGCCGTGAAGCAGTAATTCGTTTCGGTTTGAAGGGTGGGGCAGCCGTTGTACTGTAAAAACGTAGACCTTAGAACTCATGTCTCGAGGCGAGTGGCGGCATTTACGTTGTAGATGTCTATAGGTTCCGGTGACCACTTAACACCAGGTGGGCCGTGAGCTCATCCAAACATCTAAGCAATAAAATAGATATAAAAGGTGTTCAAGTCATAACTAAGCATAACATGCTTGCAGTTAAAAATAAAAAAGTGTTTTGAGGTTATCAATAAACTCATAACAAAATTTAAGTCGGACACAGAGCATTTAAAAAATGTGGGCTAGAGGGTGTCTGTTTAATAAAACTGATCATGACACTATTTGAGAACAAAAAAACACATTGGTAATAAAATATTGTTTTACATTAAAAAATCATTTTCTGTAATCAGCTAGCCTATTATTTCCCGAAATAGCTTTTTAATAAAGAAAAATTTAAAAATTAAGGTCAATTAATATTGCTTATTCTTACCAAGGAGTAAACTACGTTTTTGTCTATCAGCGGGATTGACTTCAGCCGGTTCACTTGTCGACGGAGAGTCAGACCTTGACACAGGCTCCACTGCGAGCCCCATGGCATACGCCACCAGCACACACAGAATAAGCCCATACACCTTCATAGTGCCTAAAATTATGACAAAAACAATTGCGAATTGCAAAATCTTGAATTATATATCTATAATATAAACGATTTTAGTTTAGTTGAATTTAACTGCAATTAAAGTAATAAGATTGAAACCTCTATTAAAGCTTTAATTTTATGATGCTCACTCGCGAGTTTGCAAATATAGGCTCGAGAAACCAAAAAGATTTTTAAATCGTAAATAGCTCGCAAAACTTCAATAAGAACTTAATTCTATAGTTTATTACTACCACAAAATTATATTAAATTTAATTATTTGTAATTAATATTATAATTTATAATTAATATTTCAATATTAATCATATTATATTTCAAGATTATTTTTATACAACATAAAAAAAATTTATGGACTCTTATTCAATTTCAGATTACAGCACATTATTTAAAAAATATTAATATATAAAAAATTCTTTAAGCCTACCTGTATAATTAATGATCCGAATCACACCGTATTACTGGCTCACTCCGTGACTACTATGGTATCCGGTCTGCTCCTGCCTTTGACTTTTATAGGTCGTTTAAATCTCCGCGAATATTACAACTTGACTATATAATTTCGTGACTCCTCTCAACGTGTTTTCATTATTGTTAAAATGACTACCTTATTATTTTAGAGTAAATTAAAAATATTCAACACAAATGTTTCGGAAGAATGAAAAAGATCGCTACCTTACATGTACAGACTGTTAGTAATTGAATTGTTTCCTGCTCGAAAGAACCAAAAATCCGTCAAGTGGACAGCATCAATACGGAAGTCCCTAATTTTATCTAAACTGTTAGACGCTACGCGATGAAATTGTAGAAATATAGATTTTATAATATGTTCTGTTAGCAAACATAATACGCAATCTATTTAATTCCATTTAATTTCGTCCTAAGAAACTATACCAGTATAAATAAAACTCATATAGTTTCTTAGGGCAATTAATCCCAAGTTAAAAAACCCTAGGCTAAAAAACTAAATTTCGTTCAACCATATCCTGTCCAATCAATACTTGAGACCCAACACGGTTGGTTTATTGGTGACTTTTTTTTTATTTTTATTTTTTATTGGTACCCAAAAAAATGTATGTAGATACAAAAAATTTGTTACGTAGGTATACCAACTTCTTATGTCATTAATTTTGCATACCCTTTATTCCAATATACAGACATTCAAACTCATCTGTTAAAATGTAAATGTAGTTAAGAAGATGTCGCCCGTAAAGGGACGCAAAGTGGGATTGCCCCACCTACCTTAACTTATGTACATTATAACTCACGGATAATACGCCAACTAGGTATAAATGATCAATATTCATTAGACGTTATAACAAACACGAATTTGATCATGAGAATAGTTCGCGGGCTCATAACTTTGAATATGGAATTTCCGTTGGCATTAATCAAAAGCCGTTGTTATTGTGTCTAACTGTTTTATAGAACAATTTAAAATATATTAGTTATTTGAAGTGTAGTTGTTCTTGTCTCATATGTGACATCTCTACTATATTGATTCTACAATTTTTTGTTCATAACTGGCTGAACGAGCTCTTGGCTCACCTAGTTAAGAAGCTACTAGAATTCACTATAGTGTGAATATCGGTATCCGCCTTAGTTGTGAAGTCGAATTGTATTAACGATTGTCTCACCTTTGAAACTGTGAAGAATGACTGCTTTGCGACAGTAATAGGCAGAATAAAGCTAGCTACTTGTGCTGGCTTAACAGCACCTCAGGGCAATTCTATAATTAAAATTAAAGAGGTTTTCAACATTTGTGTTTTCTCTGACATCGTTGAAAAACTACTTCGCCGCTGAAGCTACACGAGCATGGGCTTAACCTCTGACACTGAAGAATGTAGCTGCCCGTCGTACAGTTTTTTCTCGCCAGTCGATAAATTGCAATTCTCACAGGTCTACCTCTACCGCATCAATCCAACAGTGTCCAGGATATTGTTCAACGATTCCTAGCTAGAACTAGAACTGGTGTTGAGTTTTTGGAACGAAGTTCTTTTGGGACAATGCGGAGGGGTACCCTAACCGGGAAAAAACGTCCGTAACGTAAGATTTTTATTAGTAATGCACACAGTGTACGACTTAACTTTGTAATAACGTACAAAAAATAACATTTTTTTTTATATTATATTTTTTATAAATCATTGTGAATAAACTAAAGTTGATAGCTTTGTAAAGTTTTTTTATCAACAAAAAAATCATAATGAAAAATGTATACCCGCATAATTATCTTCTTTATACCTCCAATAGAACTTAAAATTAATATTTTTATAATAAGGAACTTCGTTCCTCTCCGGTGGCCCACGACACCACACATCTTTTTTATTAACTGTACACTCAAACTGTTGCCATGCATATGTGAAGGGTTCACAGAACGTTGATTAGATTTCTAACCAAAACTCTAGTGAGTAACTTATATGCACGAACTCTTAAAAATGATGTATAAACGACGCTACCTATGATTTATTGTATAGATTTTATTAGACAAATATTTTTATGAGATACTTTGAAATACCGAAACGGATAAATGTTACAATGAAATTTATCTTTTAATCAATGTCCATGAACTTTTACGATGTGTCATGTATCATGTTATCGTTGTAGATTCAACTAAATATCAATTTTTTGTGATTTTCTATACCTTTTTTATATTTAAAACTGCCTTGAAAAGGTAACTAGCTCAGTCCATCTAGTATTAATTGGTTACCGTCGCCTATGGACATCAACAATACCATAGGCACAATCAAGATGCTACTTAACGCTCGTACCACTTATAACTGTTTTAACTATAACTGTCGTAATTGTACATAGTTCAGTATTGGGCTTTTAATTTAGAAATTAATTTTTTTTAAGTAGCTTGTGATTCATGAAACATTTTATTTTTTCGAGATTAAAAGCCTTAGTGACTACGTAGCGCAAAAACTGCTTGCTAAAATGTCATTACAGTCCACTGCTCTTTTAATACAGGCAAGACGAACAAGCTTTTGCATTTAAAATATTATTGTATGAGGGTAATACAAAATAGTAGTTGCTAGCCCAATGACTATAATTAAAATCAAATTATCCACAAAAATAACTTAGAACAAGAGAAATAAACAGATAAGTTTAATGAAATTTTCGCTATACTGATTATGGATGAGCAAAATTGAGCTGAAAAATAAACAACTACTTAAATCAGGACCGCGCGACGCCTCATAACTTGACGAATCTCTAAAAAGAATATTTGTAAGCAAATCGAAGGACAGACCGACTTGAATGAGCTGCCAAACTAGATTTTTATTCGACCAGTTTTTAACAAAGTTTCCGATATGACATCATAATAAACCGGCCAAATGTTTGACATTTTTTTATTATCATCACTTTTTGGGTACACTGTCATTAAGCAAAATATTGATTATATACGATACGTGAATTTTTGATTCATAAACAATTAGGTGGCTTCAAAAACCTTATAGTTTTTTTCCACATAAAAACAGATAATGAAAATCTCAAGAGAGAATATTTTATTTATTTAAATTGACAAAGAAGGAATATAGTTTATAACTCAAGTAAAAAAAAACAATAGTTCGTGATTTATATGGTCAAAATTTTAATTAGTAAGTAGAGCTGCTGTGAGACCGCTCTGGTCAGTACCACCGTAATCATGTGTTCTGATGTGAAAACTATGATACCAATTATTTTAATGCAATTGAGAATTTTAAAGCTGAAGGACTTAGTAGGTACTCATATGAGTTACGAATAAAGGAACTGGCAGAACAAGATGGGATTCCCGTAAAAGCAAGGATAGGGGGTTTTTAAATATAAACTACTGAAAAAGTAACAATAACATTTCGATCATCAGAGTTAAATAAAAAACAAATACATAGGTAAATACTATTTATTAAAAATAACACAAAGTATAAAGTTGACTGACAACAAAGTGTTATAAATGTTATAACAACTGTTATTTGGTTTATTTGAATGGTTGAAGTGACTGCAATTTCATCTTTGAAATCATTCTGCGATTTAAACGAGGTAATTCTACTTAAAACATGCACATTTAAACTTTCACACCAAGTACTATAACTAATTACTTTCGATAATTAGGAAATTATCACCAGGTACTTTTTTCACAAGAGTAAAATACAAAATGTATTTGCTGCTGCTACATTTAGTACTATTTCATTTATTTTTAAACTAGCTGACCCAGCAGACTTCGTAGTGCCTCAATCGATAAATAAAAGTCCTAAACTTTTGTATAAAATAAACTTAAAAAAAAAAAGGAAAAATATTTTTTTTATTTTTATTTCATTCCGAGCATTTTCATATTTATCTACCTTTTAAACCTTTTCTGGACTTCCACGAATAATTCAAGACCAAAATTAGCCAAATCGGTCTAGCCGTTCTCGAGTTTTAGCGAGGCTAACGAACAGCAATTCATTTTTTTATACAAAGATTAGTACTCATTGTCTACTGAATCAAAATTCCTAGTCATACTATTTCGACGATACATTTCTATAAATGTGCATGTTTCCGATGTTCAAAACTGATTCAGAAGCTAGCTTGTATTGTTTTGACTGTAATAATAGGATCAAAACTTAATAAAAATAGTCATCATATCATTTTGATCTATCTATTAAACAACATTTCTGTCAAACACTAATTCGCTTGCGTATAAAGTAAACATGTTAATGGCTACTTTAAACAATAATAAAACTCATTTATTTCAATAATTTGAATTTTCTATAACCAGAACAACAAAAATGATGACTAATTAACTCACCAACAAACTTTATTGGGTTAACTTCAGTGTGCCATCAAAGATACTTTGGTTTCTAATAACCCTATAATAACACAAATGTTAAAATAGTATACAAAATATTTTAATAGAATAACAACCTTGGATGCAACTTGAATGCTGACTACACTCAAATTGATAAAAACATGAAAGTAAAAATAATTTTTGATTTAAAAATTCAAACAACTAAAAAATGTATTAGTAAATGAGTTTTATATTGTTTTAAATAGTATATGTCAACACAAGTGTGCTAGTTCAAACCGTTAAGTTGACTAATCACTACATGGCACCCTGGAATACACCTCCACCAGCACGCCGTCAGATTTATTACTCACTTATCAATCAATGTGTACGTATTATTCCTGTAACATATCGATATCATAAATTCCTTGAAACTTCAAATCATTTTAATTTTAATACTGGACCATAACTTTGAATACACTCAAAGCACATTTATTTGGTGCTAAGTTAATATTGAAACAATGCAGCTTCATTTGAGTATTTTCTAATATTCAAAAGCAGTATGGAGCTTCCAACTAAGTTCAATAAATTTTAGTTATACAGGAATGACAATTTCAAAAACTCATGAAACAATTATTACAAAAACATTAAATACACAAAGAGAGATGCTGCTTTATGAAAACATCACACTATCACGAGCAGGCATATCAATCTGTTGGGATCTGAGAAACTTGAACATTTAATCTAAATTCACCTTCTTCCTTAGTGGTTTAAAAATTACAAGATTTTCTTAACAGTCAATTCAGAACCTTATAAACCTAAAAACGGTAAGCTTAAAACTAAATCAGTGTTCTGCAGTACTCTTGACTTGCCTTTAGAAAACTCTCAATGCCAGCTAAAAGAAAAACAGAAAAGTGACATGAATTAAAAAGCAATGGATTTAAACAAAAATATTTCGAGCTTGTTCACACAAAACAATGTTAAATGTACATAAATGCGTAACAATGCTTTATTAATGAACTGAGTAACGCTATGACAAATGTATTTAAACACGGTATTGTGGTATTGTGACATTAATTCTGGGATCCAGAAATATACAAGTAAATTAACATAATAATAATTCACATGCGGTTTATCACCGAAAATTGTAATATTTTTTAATAGATTACTGAAGCAGACAAGCCATACTTTATAGGTAGGTGGGTGGCGCATTTACGTTGTAGATGTCCATGGGCTCCAGTAACCACTTAACACCAGGTGGGCTGTGAGCTCGTCCACCCATCAAAGCAATAAAAAAAAAATCCAAGTCTCGATTATATTAAAATATACATAATAATATGTACTAGAACCAATCAAAATACCTCTAATATCGATAAATTATTTAAGTTACCTACTTTCGGAACGTTGTCTTAACTATTACAAAACACATATTACTTCGGGGTGTAGATTAAAAAAAAATTAAAATTGCCGGTGTAGGTTTTGTTAATACCCTCTTTATCACTGTCACGTAACAAAAAAGATGAGACAAGTAGGTGCGTAAATCATATTACTTAGGATAATGGTGATGAGAACGTTTACTCACCTATGTTCTTCGACGTATGATACAGGGTGATGGTAGTGAGGTGGGCTGGAAGTGGGTGAATATTAGTTAATGATACGTGAATATATTTTTTTTCGAGAATATAACCCAGATACGACAGCTATTGAAATCGTTTTCAAAAAATAATTTTAGTACGTTGAATTGTTTTATTTTATTTGAACACGTACTTTTACTATTTTTACTTTAATTTTCTTTTCAGCTTTTACGTGAACGTAAATAGTTCAAACAATATTAATTACTATCATAATTAGTCTTAAATTCGAATAAGTACGATTATAACGCATTCGAATATATTTATTGTATTTAAGTATTAACATATTTTAATTTTATGCTAGAATTTAGATCATAAACGTCATAAAATGATACCACTGCATCGTTACTACTACGTTATTTTCTTCGGTTTTCGCGAATCGAGAATTAAAACTACTTTTACGACTTAATCTCGCATTTTTATTATTTAAAATATAGTCTAGCTATATTTTTCATAGACAAATAAACGATTGTTAGCATAATATTTAAAGGTGTTCTAATTTAAATATGTATTTAAACCACGAAAACAGTAAATTATTGGAAACATCGAAAATAATGTAATGACAATGAAAAACGCGATATTAAATAAAAATAATAATATACCAATGGCCAAAAATCTATTGAAGACTATTTTTGTTGCTTTAAGTTTGAATTAAAGACGCTAATCTGCTAACGTAGGCGAAAAAAATCTAGCGTTATTCTTGTATTTTTGAAAACAGATTTCCTGAATACGTTTGTTAATATATATAACTCACCTATGGATTTCTACGTATGTAGGTGGAGGATGGTGATGATGGCTGCAATTATGATGGTAATACATATTAATAAGTAAATGACATATTTTATTAAAACTTGTGATGTATTTAATTATTATTAGAACCTATTAGCATATGGAAATACTATGCATGCGATTTAAAAAAGTTATTAATAAGTTTACAGTTTTTGAACATTTTGTACATTGCATCTATGACGACACATGTTGCATACGTAGCATTTTTTGGTTATTAATGATTTGAAATGAAAGAAGGTTATGATAGTTTAAGTTATTCATTATGAAATATGGTACCGAGTAGACTTTAATGAGTTGCGCAAGTGTGAAGTGAAAAGGACTAATTAGTACGAAGTACCTGTGTCACCTTGGGTTAACTTATTTCAATGATAAATTAAGTTATTCACTTACAATATTTTATGCAAACAGAACTTTGCTGTTGGATTTTATAAGGTCGATTGTTAATTTGTTTATTAACTAATATTTAATCTTCGGACTAATTATAAAATTTTAATTGGTAATTAATCCCAATTCATTAATTAAAAATAGTTTGGATTCCTTTTTTTTGGTAATACTTATTGTATTACTTACCCTGCTTTACTCTTAAGAGCTATGGCGCCGACCACTCCGGCTCCCACCGCACCTACTTTAGCCGCCTTCAGTCCAAGAGCACCTATGCACAAATTTACTGGTATAACTAAAGTAATAGGATATAAGGAGATGGTCTCCAAAGCTGACATAAGTCTGCATGTGATATCAGATAGCAATCTCTCTTGCACAATCAAACCTTTGTCGAACCTATTCGGAAATCTCTAAGTCAACGGCGTATTGTTGCTAAAATAGAATACACATGGTAAGAACATACGATCACTTTAAAAGGCGTATGAGCATCGTTTGATCGAAGGTGACTTTCGTTAAGGAATTTGTTTCTCTTTTTTTCTTTCTGTCTTTCCTATTACCTTCTGCTGGGATGTAAGGCTCGAATCAAATTCTTCCATTTGCATTAAGGCTTTTGGGCCAAATTATATATTTACTATACGAATACGAATACTATAGAAAATTATGACGTTGTTATTAATGAACAATATAAATATATCGACGCTTGAAAGGCGAACGTGACTAAGCGACAATGCGTGAACTTTACAGTAGATTAATTTAAAGTTGAAATACCCGAAAAAAATCTATTTTAACGAATCTAGCTGTAGGATTAAAATTATTTTAATAGACCTAGAAATATGTTTTTTTTGCGCATCGAATATGGTTATTGCCTATCATTTATGTACAAAGCAGTTATTGTCGCTTAGTCACGTTTGCCTTACAAGCGTCGATATGTATATGTACGTAAAATGTTGAAGTGATTCCCGCAGCTTTTGCATCGTATTTAATATTCCACACGGACCTGACACTATTAAACTACTTCAACGTACTTTGGTCGTGTCCACATACGGTGGACGCAGAATATCAATGATATTATACGATTTCCTCATACAAGTAGAATTGTAGCGCAGTTTCTTCCACCCGTTTTCCAAATTGGGTACAATTACGATATCGCATTGCAAGACCAAACAAACTCCAAGTTCACCTACATATGTATGCTCATAATATAACGCTAAATAGCAATGACCCTGTACAACAATGTGTACACTGAACGTACATGCATACATTGAAAGCCTCTAATAGTTAACGCTTCGACGACACGCTTAAAGTAAATATTAATAGGTTTGAGTAAAATATTTGGAATTCTTAATTTGGAACTACTAATTATTTGAAGTGTCAACACTTTTGACCTTCTCATTAAATTGTTGGTTTTGTTAGAAGTTTTTTCTTTTGCGTGGTTGTGTTGAACGAATTTGCTATCGATCTTGTGCTAAGTGGGTACTAACCCACCTTAAACCACGGTCAAAGTTTCAATCGTGCCTACCTGCCTACCTACTGTCATTCAAACCGGAGTGCTAGACTGACTCAGCAGAAATAAGTCACAAAAACGTTAAAAACTCCGAATTATTATAAGAACAGCGTACACTGGCCTAAATGATTAAGCTGGGATCACATTCAAGAATAGGACGATGGAAGTAAAACAAAAATCTCTCTAAGCTCCAAGATTGTAACGTCTGAAGCACCTTTACACAAGAGGATTTGAAGCGACTTCGGAAGCATTTCATTTAAGATATTTCAACTGGAAGTAATAATGTTTTTTCCTTAAATTTCTTTCTTATATCTATTTAGTTAAATAAATATGTATTTAGTTACAGTTGCAGAAACAGAAATATTCAAGTAAAAATATGTTTACTCTTTTTTAGTGTCATCTATGCAGATGTATAATATTTTTTCGTTAATAATAAATTCAAGAATAATTATCATAAAATAATTAGAAAAAATTCTCCAATCTTTATAATTGTGTCTAATGAATAATCAACTTCAGTTAGGCGACCGAGCAATCCCAATGTAAAGATGATAAACTTGATGAGTTTCATAATTCAAAACAGTTTTTATCCTCATTGAGAAACCTTCGTCGCAACGTTACACAATTACTCATAAGGCTTCATGCATCCGATATAAAACGCTACAGATAATTTTCTTCGAACCTAGTGTCATAAAAGATGAAAATAAGTAAAAATCTCAGACGTTTCGCGCAAATAAAATTTAACCAAACACGAAAACTTTAAACATTCTTTTCATGTGACCAATGTATTTTTTTTGTATTTTTAAAATTCTAATTGGGTTTCATTCATTTATCTTGCTTAAAATGAAAGGCAGGGAAAAATATGGATCTCATATCAAGAAAATTACGTCAGGAAATCTGGTCAAGAAAAGCCAATAACCTGTTAGATTGGACACATGTGGTTTATTTTATGATTGAAGTATTACTGGAGGCCTTTTTAGTTTCACCAGGACAAATTTTATATTTATTTATTATTTGGTGAATTTAATAGTTTCAGCAACAACAAAAATTGTGCTTAATAATAGTAATTAAAGTAGAAATGGAATCACAAAAAATGTAATGCTACGGAGCCCTGATTCGAGATTCTGGAGTCGCGCTTGTTTATTTTGATTAGCTTGATGCGAGCAGACGTGTTTCAATCAGACGATAAACGTATACTAAAGCCACGGACAGACACGGCACTGTTGTCGCCCTCCATAAGAATTCATTTAAATTCTAGTCTCAATTCTAAAATCTCAAGTCTGTTTAAATATCGACTGTTTTTACTTACATAATAGAACTCATGCTTGCTGAAATAGGCAGGATTGTGTACCTATCAACTCGTCTATGTTTACAAGATGGTCTATTATTCAAGATATGAATTAATCAGAGAATTCAATAACAACATCCTAATCAAGACTAAGGCATCAACAGGTTATACGAACTAAAAACGAAATATATACTGATTTAAAACTGACAGTTTTGCTGTCAAAGTTCTCATGTTTAAATTATTAAATAAATTACCAAGTAGTAGCTTCTTCTTCAATAGAAGCAACCCTCTTTTCGTCCTAGGACTTCTGTCGTTCACGGGAGTGTCATATACAGATTCCTGGACGGTGTCCACTACTGGCGACTGGTTTTGTTCAATATACAAGTCTGCTACAACTACAGCGATGAGGCATGTTAACACAACGAATGTTGATGTCTGCATTGTGGCAGTTTTCTGAAAGAAATTTTTATAATTTAAAACATTTCAGCAAAAATTCTATTTTACGATAGACGTTGAAAAAAGGAAAATTCTTGTTCATTGTTCATTAAAATACTTCGAAAACATCTCGATACGAACACTCTAAAAGAAATACAGCAATTTTACTAAGAAACGTTTCAGCGGAAATTGAGATATTTCTATTTCCTTTCGTTTCGTTCAACGTTTCCTAGCCATCTCCGCGGTTGCGGTTCCCGACTGCCGAGAGACGAAAATATTAGCTCTGCTATATAAGAAGCTCTTAATATTTATTTAAAGGTACAAGCCCTACCTTTCTGTAAATAGTCTTTGTCTTTTAGAACTCCAAACAACTATTTTATAGCTTAATTATCCATTCTTCAAGGAGGAATTTCATACGAATGCTTCTAAGTAAAAAAAAACTTTGAGCTCAGTGAGTCTACGAAGGGTAGAATGTCAATACCGCAGATGTTCTTCATACATAAGAGGAAAGTATTTAGGCTAAGTTATTATTTATTTACTTGACTCATAAGGTTAAGGTTGATTACTAAAAATATATTTTCTTTTCATTTTGTTTCATTACTCTATATTATACTACTATTCTAGAATTCGTTGGCGAATTCAAATTGGAATGATGGCTCACGCATGAGGCTTTTCAAAATGTAGATAGGAAGTAAGATAGGAATAATTTGGGAGACAGAAGATAACTGAGGAGATAATACTAAAACTACTTTTATGTGTTATTCACACAATCACAATATTATATATATAAAAGACACATTCCTATCAATATCCTGTCCTCAGACCTTGCCTTTGTAATAGGAAAGGTTATGCTCTCATCTCGTATTTATAAATAAGGAGATACATAAATCAAAAAGTTTTATTCTTACGAGTTCCCTTACAGAGACCCTGTTCACAGAAGTTTTCTGGTTAATTGTTAGACATATTACCTATAATCACGATTCGCCAGTTAGAAATTTTATTTATTTATTGATATACACCACTACCAATTTCGGATAATAAAAAAAACGACTCCTACCCTATGATCAAACCGGGACATCGCAAGACTTTTGATCACATCAAACATCTTACTAACATTAAGACCAATAGTGCTTTGAGCGGGTAATTGATTGATTTTAATTCAGAATAAAATCGGTCAAAATTAATTCGATGTTGAAAACGAATTCGATAGTCGACATACAAAAGATCAGCACTCACGTATGAACTATACAAAAACCTCATCAAGCAAACATTTCCAAACCAAGTGCCAATACAAACATTGCAGATAGACACGTTATAATTGTCGTAATGCAGAGTTTACGCATATTTCGAAATCGAACGTAACCGCTAAATATTACACGGCTCGTAAAGACAATGGTCGGCCATCCGCAAAACCGAACAAATTCCAATAGCACATAATAAATAGTGTGAATTAAAATATAATGTACCTTGGCAAGTTTGGTACGTGAACACAACACAACACTGCTGCAGTCACTGATACACAATTGAAGATGAGTTACAGTCCAATTCTTTTATAGATTGCAACGTGAAGTCCAGGGAAGGGCGGACCGATGGCGGTCGTTACGATGGCGCGTTTCAAGGGTTCAAGGAAAATCAGATATGCGTGGTCCTCGTGGCTGTAATAGTTTTGTGCCCATTAATTAAGATAATTCAATGGTAATTGATCACCTTGGAACTATATTGATTGAATTATTTGTACTTGAGTTAAATAAGTAGTTGCACTTATAAATTTATAAATGTTTATCAAGATCATTTTTATTTTATTTTAATGTGTGAATCACACTTTTGCAATTGAATCTTTATCAAATTATCAAAAAAACATACCACTGAATCGTACAGCTGTTTATCTAGCTTCTAGCTAATTGATATATTATTCTACACCTCCAAATTACGGTCTAACCTACCATCTACTATCAGCTCCCAAGGGTAGGTTTCGCTAACCTGCCAATAACTACAGCATAGCAAGCATATGTTCCGGTTTGAAGAATGTGTATACAATATATTTTAAACTATTACCGCACACCTCAAGGTATTCAACATAACCCTTGTGATCTTTAGTTACCACTTAACAACGAGAGGACCGTGAGCCCATCAAAAGCTCAAAATATTGCCATTGCCATGTCTGGGCTCTTTTGGGCATGTTACATAAGCTCAAAATAAATCTTTGAAGACAGTGTTACCTGTCTAGCTTGGTACTTGTGGCCTCGCACTACACGTCCGTCACGCGTATTAGCACTTGCTGGAAAATTTCAATTACACGCAACCAACTTTTTTATCTGTGTTCAAACTCGCTCAAATCTTTTATTGATAACTTCATAATTTAAGCACATGAGTGATTTTTCTGGAACCATGCTTGCTAATTTTTGTGTGATAAATAGACAGAGGTGCGAAGAGTACCGAAGTCCACGGACATCACAACGTGAAGACATAACCGCTTCAAGCTAAAAATCGACAGGACTGTGACATCACTATCCGGGCACGATATTATGTTTCTTAACTGTGAAAGTTGTGGCAGATGTTGGATACATATTAAGCCTGCGGTCTGCTCCCAAAATCTGCAGACCGTCTAGTCACTCATAGACCGCGTGCCCCCTAGGCGCGGATACCTCATAGGAAGTTTGGTCTACTGACTGAACAAAAAAAACTCGATCACTTTATCACTTGACTATTTTGTCTTGTTCTTCTTGCCCTTATCCCACAATATGTGAGATCGGTGCAGCATGTCCTTTTATCGTGCTGCATAGGGATTTGACATGAGTCAACCCTACTTCGGTTGTCAAATCCTTGTCGTTTGGAACCTCTGGTCTGCGGAGGGACTTCGATTCCCTCTGTATTTTGTACCGTATGTTCCATGGGGAGTGTTCTGAGGAATTGTTCGAGATGATACCGTCATCTCGTTTTTATCATCGTACCGCCCGCCACCGGAGTAAAGTTCATCCATACTACCACTGCAGTCATTTTGCCAAGTATCATCCGGCTATGGAATGAGCTCCCCTCCACGGTGTTTCCCGAGCGCTATGCCATGTCCTTCTTCAAACGAGGCTTGTAATGTTTCTTTTACTTCATCAAAACAGTTAGACTAAAGTTTAGATTTTGAAATGCCAATAGATGAAAATAACAAATTTTCCTTTTTTCAGTGAAAAATCGTTTGACTACATACCTGAGATACATCCGTACTCACTATAAGTGCATCTCAAAAAAGATCATACTAAAATTCGATCATTTATCATACAAATAACCCATTAACGATCTACAGCTTCGAACATTCTTAAGATGCTCTTCACATCAGATAACACAAAAAATATATTAACATTTTGTGAATTAACTGTTACCCGCGGCTTTGCCAGCGTAGTTCGGGGAGAAGTTTCACGTAATTTTGTAAAGATAATAAAACAATTTCCCATGGGAATGAGATGTAGCCTATGTCACGTGAAATAAAACTATCACTTTAAAAACTCTGTTGCTTCGTTTCAACTTGGACAAAGGGCAACAAACCCAAAAAGAAACAAACACACTTTCACATTTATAATATACATATACGTATGGATAGTTAGTGCGGATAATTACACAGGACATCTGTTTTAACGATACGAAACCCTGTTATGGCTTCAGATGGAAAAAATGTATAGTCTTATTAGTTTCACCTTGCTGCATAAGCTTCTTGATGTTGTATTTAAAAGTTCCGGGTACACATATAGTAAATACTAAAGTGTAATGAACCTCAGACGATATGAAGTAGAAATTTGTGGAAGCGAACGAAGTAAAACTATTTTTTTTTCCTACCTATGCTGATAGCATTGAGAGGCTATATCAGCTTCGCCCTAACGTGTACGTGAGCTCACGGAGCTCAAACCAGAGTGATGCTAACACTGGCCTTAGCAAGAGCAGTGCTTCGCAGAATCTACCACCGGATCGGAAACGCGACCCACTGAGAAGATCCAGCGTGAAAATCAGTGGACTGTGTCTGTGGGTTTAAAACTTTAAAAGATTGAGTTAGGGACCAAAACCTAATAAGTCAGGTTTTTAGGCCCTAGGCTCTTAAAATATATGTATCCCGGTATATATAGAAAAATAGGAATCTGTTTTTTTTTTTGAGCTAGTATTCCTACTTCTCCAACTTACGTCTGTAATTATAATACCTTCAGCTAGCTCTGTCTTTTTAATAAGGCGTGTTCTAACCGCATGAACCGTTCTAACGGCGTTACATTTTATTTTGTCTCAAAGCAAATCTAATTTATTATGTAGCATAGCTATTATTTCAATTCAATCTTTATATAATTGTTATTGGGTTTGAAAAAGATGCCGTATAATCTGAAGTTTTATTAGTTATGTATTGTTAGTAGTGTTCATTATTTTAAATTAAGATGATAATGATAATAATTTTGTAGCATCCGTTTCATGAATGAACCAGCTTCCAATCAATTTTTAGAGATGGAAACGAAACACTGCTGTATTTATATATGTTTATAGCCTTTTATATCTCACCTGAATGAAATTATTACATGTACATATTAATATATGTGAAATTATTACTAAAACAATTATTACGAGTTTTCATACATGCGTTAAATAATAACTGGGAGCAAATCACGCACGGTCGTCCGGCCCCAAATTAGGATTCCCTGTTTTACGGGTACCATAGACTGACATAGATACTTATGTATATACGTTTAAATAAGCAAAGATAATTAAAAAAAAACAGACTAAGAGCAAACAAACCTGTTCAACCATCGAACTCTCACGGCCCTCGTTGCAATAATCAGGAGCCCTATCGACTGCACCACCGAGTCAGTTAAAGATAAAATATATTTTCTATTTTATCGATGGACAGACTTGCTTACCACTCTGGGGTAAAACGTTTGACGGATCCCGTTACGTGAAGAAGGCCGTTTACCTTGAAACATGAAATCGAAGTCTCAACTCGTGTCTTGACTGATAAGTTTTATGATCCTACAACAACTGACCGTAAATGCAGTTGTTTAACGAAAACATTTAAGAACAAAATTAAACATCTTTTAATGTTTGGAAAAAAGGATATTTTCATTTCGTACCTAGCAAAGAGCGAAGTTATACTTATCTATTATATATATTCACATCTATATATATAAAAATGAATTGCTGTTCGTTAGTCTCACTAAAACTCGAGAACGGCTGGACCAATTTGGCTAATTTTGGTCTTGAATTAATTGTGGAAGTCAAGAGAAGGCTTAAAAGGTAGATGAAAATGCTCGGAATTAAATAAAAACAACAATTTTGTTTTTCCTTTGATGTGTCCCCCGTCGGATGGATTCCTTTTGTTTGTTTAAAGTTTATTTTATACAAAAGTTTAGATCTTTTATTTATCCATTGAGGCACTAAGAAGTCTGCCGGGTCAGCTAGTACGACAATAAAATTTGCACGTACCTATACTGATTTTTTAAACTGAATTAATCTACATAATTTTTATAGTGAAATCAGATGGAAGCATATATCGTACGTAACTTAATATTTTTAGAAGAATTTACGCAACCAATTTATTTAATCCATAAAACACTCAATAGAATGGCGGTAGGTATTTCCGATTATTGTTTCATAAAAAAACATACTGAGTCACGTTCGTATTACAACAAATATTGGAACATTTGACCTTAAAATATTTGTCAAAGATCCACCGATACCGCATATTTAGCAATACCTTCGAGAATATCCAATAAATGGTTGTAGATGGTGGTTTTGAAATTTATAATAACAGTGATCAATACTCAATTACTTATTTTCTTCTGTTAAAATTAAATAAAGCGACGTGAAGTCTATTCTTTTATTTATCTTCAACACACAATTATTTTTACTACATACACCTTAAAAATGTAATTAATTCGCCCAGATGTCTATGAGTATGTTAACAATACCTATGTTTTTGTAACAATTAAAGACACCGACAATGCTGGTATATACGCCAGTAGTATTTATTCTGCGGTCGTTAGAAAAATCTGATGATAAGCTCGTGCCAGCCGAACTGTAGTGTGAAAGAGAATACCACTAATAAACCTCTCATTACCTGCTAACCCTGACAACCCTTAGTTGCAGTAGTAGACTGCAGGAATGGTTGTTACAGCCTTCCGTAATCGTATGAAAGATAAAGTTTTTATTAACATCAACATGAAAAGTGGCAATGATCGCCTTAATTATTCATTTGAGTAACAATTTTAATGCAATTTTATTAAATCATAAGTAAGTCCAAGTAAGTAATTAATTAATAATAATTATGTATATTAAGTTAATCAATTATTCAATTATTAATAATGAAACCATCGAGTCTGAGTACATAAAAAGTTTTCGGCTTACACGAAAATCAAATCTGTGTACGCTTTAAGCTAATAAGAAGTATGCAATTAAAGACGCAAATACAAAATCGTAGTAAACTTAAGTAGACGTTTTAAAATAAACATTTTGTTTTCGAATGACAAAGATTGTCTCAAGTAATTAACTG